AATACAGGTAAAACTAGGACATGACTATTTTAAATCTTATATGCAAAGATTTGATGATAGATTTGATTCAATAGAATGCTTATTCTGCAATGTAAATGAGAATTCTGAGTATATTGTAATACACTGTGCATTATACAATAGTCTCAGAGTCAGATTGAAAGAGAAGTATAATCTAAATTAATTAAATATGAGATTCTTATTCTCAACTGAGACAGAAATTAAATACTTAATAGACTTTCTATTAGAAACTCAAGCAGTTATAAGAAAATGACTGAATTCAGAAATATCTGAATATGAAGAGAAGAAAATTGATCAGATATAGTCTGTTAAAATAGCTATATACTATCTTTTGAGAATTTATTTCATTACAGTCTCTCTTTATTTTACTTTATTTTTTCCTTTCTATTCTTTTCTATCTATTTATTTAATGTGTCTATCTTTAAGACTGTGTTCTCTTTTCTTTTGTCATGATATTGTCAAATGATTTCAAAGTATCAGAAGATGTTAAAATACTGTAATTTGTAAACAGTTTTTGTATTCTGAGCTGAAATTTTCTGATTTTACATATCTGAAATTGGTGAATGTATGATAGTTATCTTTATAGATATAGGAAAAACTCTGAGAACTTTTAATTCTCAGGTAGATATTATAGTCTCTGACTGCATACATCTATAATTGAAGAATAATAATAATAATAATAATAATAAGAAGATATCTTCTCAGTTTCTTCTCTTTCTTAACTTCTTATAATTACTAGTATAGTGATTATTAGCTCTACAGTTAAAATAGAGATCTTTATTAAATCTTTTTTAATATTTCTTCACAGTGAGTGAAGAATCAGAATACTTGAAATTCTTCTTTACTTTCTCTATACTAGAGCTGTCACAGTGCTATTTAAATTCTATTATTAATTACTTAGAAGAGATCTTATTAATCTTTTTCTTAAAGTATTAATTATTTAAATAGATCTGAGAAGTTAAGTTAACAAGCTCAGTATAATTAATTAATGAACTCTGATACTGTGATATTATTATTCACATCTTATAAGTCAGCTTTGTAAGATAAAGCTGTGTCTTTAATTAATTTAAATTATCAGCTAATTTCTCTTAATATTCTTTAAATCTTATATTAAAATTGAAAGAATTCTCATTATCTTATTAATATAATAAGTTGAATCACTGCACTGCTATGAAGCTGCAGTTATAATAGTCTTTGATTTAATTCAGTAGAAAGTTCTTGAATTCTTCTTAAGTTATAACAGTATTAGTACACTCAAGCTTTCTCTTCTTAATAACTCAAGTAGTTGCAGAGATGTCTTCAAGAAGATTGACAGTGTATATTACTTATATCTTATAAGTATTAAACTGACTCAGATTAAGACAGAATTTCTGTTTAAAAGTATAGATAAAGCTGTGAAATTCAGATAATATATTTCTCTTATAATTTAGAGAATCTCTGATCTTAATCTCTATATCTTCATAATAGATGAAGGTATATAGAGGCTGCAGCAGTGATAGAGCAGTTGAAGAACTCATATTAAAATGTATAGCAGATTCAGAAATCTCAGATTTCTGTCAGAATAGAGATATACACACTCTAGAAAATAATATAAAGTGTTTCTCAGAGAGTGAGATTGAGTCAGTCTTAGTATAGATATATAAGATTATATCAGTCTATTAAAGCTTGACTGATTCAAACTTATAATTAGATTGAGTGATTTGAATTATAATATAATAGATCTGAAGTGATAACTAGTTAGTAATATTATATAAAGATAATTGTTTAAGAAGCTGTATAAGTAAGCTTAACTATCTTACTTAAATAGTGAGCTTGTAAACTACAGAGTTATCATGAGAATATCACAGATACAGTACTTAGTATATTAAGAAGATTATATAAGAAACATAGTAACTCTTCTTTATATTTCAGTAGAAGAAAAACAAATCACTGACTTCTTTAATAAAGAGTCAGTATCTAGCTATTCTATATAGATAATGAGTGAATACTCTTCTCTCATTTCATAAGTGAGAATAGCTGAAGTAATATCTCAGTGACATTTCACTACTAAGAAAGAGTAATCTGCTGATCTTATATAGAATTGAGATTCTCATATTAATCAATCAGATCTTTCTATAATATATTCAAATAATGTCATAGAGTAATTGGAAACCGGTTTGAACAGTCTGTGAGATAAATGAAATCATCCGCAGAGAAGTAATGAGCCGTGCGGAACCGCAGCAGAGTCTTGACACGGCCAGAGATGTGACACTGAGTGTATTTTTGAACTTATTTTACTCACTCAATGAAAAGTTAATCAGACTGTTTCAATTGAGAGATTTATCAGTCTATTTTCAATTGAAAAGTTGATCAGACTATTTCAAAAGAAGAATGAAAGACTTTTATATATAAAATACCTGATTTTTTTCACACTTGTTCAGTAACTAGATTAGATTTTTAAAGAGAATTTAATAAACTAAAATTGATTTTTAAGATATATTAATAAAATCTTTATAATCTCTTTCTTAAAATACAGTGATGAAAAGTATGATATTAATTAATAATAAATCAGATAATATAATAGTTTTTAAGAGAAAAACTGATAAAAAGTAAGTCAATTTTTTACAGAGAAATTGATTAAAACTATTTAATTTTATTCTAAATCATTCAATTCTTCTCACATAATAAGTATATAACTCAAATCAGTTAATAAAGAGTGTAAAAAAGAATTAAGTATTAATAAAAGCTCTTCAGTCACTGGAAAAGTAATTCTTACTTAAAAGAATATAAAATTATAATAGAAAATAACTCTGTTTTTAATTCTTTGTAAGAATATTATATAAAACTCAGTGAAAAATATCTTACTTTTTCAAGAGAAGTAAAATCTAATTCTAAGATCTTTTTTTTTTATATTAACTACTGTAGAAGAATAAGATAGAAACTACTAAAGTATACACTATTATATATCTTCTATCAAGACTTTCTCTCTTCAGAGTCTTGATATTATAGAGAATATAAGTCTATTTCTATATAATAATATAAATATTATCAGTAAAATATAGAGAAACTGGTTATTTATGTCTTAAAATAGAAGACTTTGTCAATGATTATATTAATATAGAGTTAATTCTTATATTTAATAGAAATCTAGTATTACTCTTCTCAATCTCTTACAGAATCTACTGAATATTAAGATATTAAAACTAAATTTAATATATCTTACTTTGCAGAGATTAAAGACTCAGTCAGATCTTAAGACATACTGATTTTATATTTATTAATATATAGTTATCTGCTAATTATATATTGAATACTATTACTAAGATATCTTTTTATATCTTTCTACTGAAGATAAGTCAGATTGAGAAGAGAAATATATAAGTGATACTTGACATTGATATCTTAAAATATCAAAGACAGACAGAGTTTTCACAGAGATTACACTTCAGATAATTTTCACAGAGATTACACTTCAGATATATTTATTGATTATGTACTTAATACTATTACTGAGATATCTTTTTATATCTTTCTGCTAATGATGAGCCAGATTGAAAAGAGTGATATGTGTGTGAGACTTAGCATTGATATTTTGAAACATCAAAGATAGACAGGGTTTTCATGAAGATTACTCTTCAGATATCTTCACAATTATAGATTGAGAATCTTCAAAAATCAAGAAGATTGATACATATGACTAGGTCTCTTCATCTTACAATTTGTATGGCAATTTGACCTGGGGTTGTGATGTGATAGAAGTGAACAGGGGATAATCCCACACAGGAGTTTTGAACAATGTCTGTTCATGTTTGGCTGGATAACTCCACCACCACTCGGAGTATGCAGTCGGCGATGGGGTCAAAATGCTTGTATGATCAAGGGCTTTTCGATGGATCTATCGGCGGGTTCTTATTCGAAAAATTGAGCGAGTTCGTGGTGGAGCGGTTGATGTCTGTTGACTCTGTTCTATAGTTAAGTCAGAAGGTTTTGAAGTGAAATTGCTGCATTTGAGAATTGCAAAATTCTGTTGAATGTTTCTCTCTCTATGAATCTGTACAGAGTAGAGGATGAGATTTGAGACCAACAAGGCGTTTACATAGTATTCTCAAGTATTGTATGCAGTGTAAGAAGTTTATGTTATGTGCTAATTATTTATATAAATATATGAGATTTGCACCAGCGCCTTCTTTATGACCACTAGAATTCCATGAAGTATCACAGGAAGAATTGAAGCAAGAGCAGCTGTAGCCAATTAGCATAACACGAAAACAAAAAATAGAGAGGAGAGGAGAAAGAACAACCCAAGAAGGATCATGATGGAGGAAGAGGTCTTGGGATGGGTATTTAAAGAATGGCAGAACTAGTACAAGGTTCGATTCTCATCTGATATAACACACCCCACTCCGAGAACCCCTCGGTGTAAACCAGAGGTTACCATTCTAGGGAGGGTTCTATATGCCTTCGATAGTGGCTATGAGTAAACAGGAACTAATCTGGTAGACCCCTCATCACCGGGTAAGTTATAACAACATTATCCGTGAATATATGTATATTCCACTAGGCATTTAAAATAACAATTATCATGCGAGGTGGCACAGGGTTTAAATAGGAACATCCACCAATGAATTCATCTGAATCATTCGGTCAGACAGTTACATTTAACTACGGGCTGATTGACTGCGGGAATCTCGAACCGGTTCCAAGCATTTCCATTTCCAATAACTACAACTCTTCATAAAAGAAAAATAATAAAACTCGTTTTTGGTCCATTACCTCGCGTAGCCGTGTTAAATAAACAAGAAAGCCAACTATATCTGATTGTTGGATCTACCTGACCCAAGCGTTCGACCAGGGCCCCGTCCTTTATGATCGTTACTCGGTTGTCCCTTGCTCTCATTATCGCTGCCAGACGCAGGAGTAGTTGTTCCTTCAGCACCAGCTCCTCTTTTTTTGGGACCTCCACGCAAGGTTTGACCGACCCCCTTATATTTCGGCTGGCATCCCTATTGCTCCTGTCGACTCGCTCTCACCGTTGAGAGGCATATCCCAAAAAACAGCTTACCTGACTGTAAGCGGAGTGGTTGGGGCCCGTTGGTCTTTGGATTCGGCAGCGGGAGTTGTGGAGCATTAGAAGATGTGCCTGACACTGGAGTGGATGCTTTTGGAGTTGGCCCTTTGCTGCCCTTCTTAGAATTTAGTCGTTGCCCCCCGAGAAGGAAGTTGGAAGATACAGCCTTTTCTCCCTTCGCTGCATCCATTGACTCAGGGGCAATGGCGGAATAATTTATTGCCTGCGCCATTGTGCCCTGAGAATGCAGCATGCCGCCAGCCGGAAGACCGCTACCAACTGCACTCTGCGGTGTGCTGGTGCCACTGACTCGTTTCGGTTCTTCGTATCCGATAGGCGTTGCAAAATCTACTTCGAGATCAGTTTCCAAAACTGATATGGCACTCTTTGAGTGTTGTGGTTTCGTTTCGAGTACCGCCATTTCATATATTTGCTCATTATACGAGAATGTGAAGATGTCCCCTTTGGAAAGGCAAGAGAAATTGCGGAAGGCATTTTCTAGAACGGCTTTGGGGTCACTAATATCGAGGAACGACGTTGATTGCGCTTGTAGTTTTATATATTGGCCTGGTGGAAGGTCTGTTGACTTTATTTGCAGGAGATCTCCGGGTTCAAGGAGTAGTGTTTGCATAATCTAGCAATTTGAAGAGTACGTAATTAGCAAGCTGCACGACATTCCGTATTTACCTTCCTAAAAGTTCAATCGGGCATACGCAGAGCATACCCAAAACGGCAGATAGATCTTTCCTTCTTCAGCAATGAACTCCAGAACTCCGGCATGTGTAGTCCGGTCTTTCACTCGATTATGAAGCTCGAATATCATAGGATATGTGATGTGAAGCCGTGTGAGCTTGTCTAGGGCACTTGGTGGCATGATAACCTTTCCACCGTGGTTGACGTTTTCTCGTTCTGGACCAGGGAGCATGGCTACAGGATAGCATCTATAAAATTCGTCAAACCTCCTGGACGTGTGTCCTGGATGTCGCATCATAGACGGGTGTAGGACTCCGTCCATGGGATCCTCCCCCGAGTAAAAGCTCCCTGGAAACTGTTGGGGTTGGAAGTTAGCTCCTTGGGGACGTAAGCTGGTTTTAGATACGCGAGACAAAAAGCCTACCATAGATGCTAAGACAAGTATCGGCGGCCCGTTAACGGCAGATGAACAGGAATAGCTGTATTTTCATACGTTGGCTGGGGACACAGCCTTAGGGCAAGGAAGGCTGCAGCTGAAATCAGTAAGCTGGATAGTCGTTCAACCCGAAGGATATCGAATAGCAGGAGAATGAATATAATAAAATTTTAACATAGATAGAAGAGGATCTCGTTCAAAATACCGGCAGGAATTTGCAGTCCTTCGGTTGGCGTCGACGACGTTATACAAGAAGGCAGCTCCGACTGACTAAGCACGGGAGCTTCACGCAAGAGCGGACCGCCAGCGGAAGTACGATATTCCGGCCGGCAGCCACCACCCCCCGTCATTACAGAGGTCTGGAAACGTGTATGTACTTGGAAGCACGGGAAGGTCCCTATCGTCAGATGTCTAGAATAATATCCATTATATTGGGCCACAAAGCGTGGTTGGCCTAGTCTTTTGACGCCCCGAGCCACGAATTTTACCTTCATTCCTACTTCTATTGGTTATTCGACTGGCAACGCCCGCAATGGCAGCATCGATTCCTGGTAGACCAAAGCGCACTGGAGAAGACTTTGCTCGCATACACCATAATGACACAGATTCCGATACGAACGGGCCTACTTCATCCAAAAGAGTTCGATTTGATGTCCGAAATCCATCCGCTTTAGCTCCAGACGCCTTGGAGGAGGACGCGGTGCTGGACGCTGACGAAATTGGTCATCGAGGACGGCGAGTGCGGCGAAACGCAGTCAACATCGAGGGCTACGATTCTGACAGCGAAAATGAGGGGTTTGATGCGCGCATAGAAGCTAAAGCTAGAGCTAATGTGAAAAATTCCCCCAGAGACACAGATGATATGTTCGCAGAGTTGGAAGACGATTTTGCCGCTGATGACGCAGACGACGCTACACCTCCGGGTAAAAAGAAGCAAGTTCGGTTTCTACAGGATGATGAGATTGAGGGACAGGTTTATGATTCTCGTGCTGGAGGCACGGTTACTCTGGATCTACATGGCGGCGGTAAAGGGAAACAAGTGGCGCGAGCCGAGGAAGAAGATAGTGAGAGCGATGTCGACGAACGAGAGAGAGCGAAGGTCGGTCCAGATGTGGACAAAGAACTTGGAGCTGGGGGAAAGAAGACGCACGTTCCGCTATTAGATGCTTTCAATATGCGCGCGGAGCAGGAGGAAGGGCGCTTTGACGAGGCCGGAAACTTTGTTCGCAAAGCCACAGATCCAGACGCGATTCACGATTCTTGGCTGGAAGGGGTTTCGAGAAAAGACATGCGAAAAGCTAGGGAGGCTGCGGAGAAGAGGGAAGAGGAACGACGAAAGATTCAGCTTCAGCAGGACAGCATCCGCACAGCGGATATCTTGGACACCTTAATCAAAAATATGGAGCGGGGAGAGACTATCCTAGAGTCACTCGCAAGACTGGGGAAAAGTGTCAAAAACAAGCCGAAGTGGCGGAATAAAAATAAAAACCGACAGCGGAGTAACAAGAACGGCACGGAAGATGAGGAAATGGGCGAAGACAACCAAGATGAAACAGCCCGCAAGCGTGTGATCGAAGATATTACTGGAGCTGCAGACATCCTGCTCAGTCGTGGTCAGTCTGAAATATACGATGCGGAACGTGAGCTATTGTTGCGGCAATACAAGCGAGAAACAGGGGTGGATTGGGGAGACCAGACGCTCGCAGAAGGCGCTATTTCGGAATCAAAAATAGTGACGGATGCTCCGCCATTGTGGGAATATCGCTGGTCCGATTCCCGCGATGGAGGCGAGGCTCATGGTCCATATGATGGGGCAATGATGGAATCATGGTATGCGGCAGGATACTTTGGTGAAGGTGTTGAATTTCGGAAAGTTGACACGGCTGGAGAATGGAGCTCTGTCGCAAGCTTCACATGATAGCCTGGCTTATATCAATTCCATTTCAAAATTGTACTATTATATTAACGATTTGACAAGATAAGCCTTGTGTGTACAGTAATCGGAGTTGAATTTACCCAGCATGACTTAGCATCCACAACTGAATGATTTTATCCCGCCTTTCGGAAGTAGGTTGCACTGCGCCACCTTACTATACAAAGGAGTTTTTTACTTCTCGCAGCCCGCAATCCCAAAGTCAACCATAAATCGCAATGAGAACAAATCGTTATAAGAGTCTAGTCCTTAAGAAATTTCCATGGCATCACCATTGGGATAGGAGAAGGTAACATTGCCTTCTTCACCAATAAGCCGCTTCTCAAACTCATTCACAAACTTGACACTTCGAAGTGGGTCAAGGAAAAGATGAAAACTTCGCTGTACATCTTCCAGACCGACCTCTTTGGATTTGCGCTTCTGACTTAGTAAGGTAGACGTGGCGATGATGTTGCTGGCATATCTCAAGCCAGATTCCTGGCCAATTTTCGTCAACAGGGCAAGTGCATCAGGGGTCAGATCAATCTCTTCCTCTTGGGCACGGATAGCTAATATTTGCTGGATATCCTCCTTGGTGTATGGTTGAGTGCTAACGATGACGACCCTGTCGAGGAAGTCCAGAGGTAACCCATGAGGGGACCTATACGAGGTGCCGCGTATTCTTGTATTTCCACGATTGCTCGCCATGATCACAATGGGTGCCAACTCGGCTTCTAGCGCTCGGTTGATGTAGGAAAAACACTCAATATCAAGCATGTGGACTTCGTCGATGAACAACACGCCGGGTATGATTTCCGCCTTGCCTTCTTCTTTCCATTCTCCAACTTTTGTATTGATTTGATCTCTCACTTCACTACGAATTTCGCCAGTGTCTCCTGAAAACAGTGCTAAAAAGCCTTGCGTTCTTGAATTTATGACGTCAATCTCATGGAGACTGACTGTGTGCACTATTTCCTTTCGGACTTGCAACTCTCCGTCCGGGCATTGGACAAACTTTGTATCCGCTCCCATCGCATCGTAGTCTCGAGAGCGGGCGTATGAGCGCCCAAGTTTGGTTATCTTGCCAGAAGCCTTATCAATTGAAATCACATCCCCAGCCACAACACGCTCCTTTGTCATGGAATCGATCATTTTTGTGCCCATATCGTAGATAGTCTCCATATCCGTGGTTTTTATCGTGAGTTTGCCTTGTTTGTTGCCCTATGTAAACAAAAGTTAGCTGTAGCTCCCAAAAATGGGGCCATGGTGCCGCGAGAAGGGACGTACGCCAGTCAAAGTCCGATCGATCTGGATTTCAACAACTTCGCCCTCTATTATCTCACTTTCCTCCTTTATTCTGACGCCGATAGATTTGCGGAATGCCTGTGTAAGTGCTTCCGTCTTTGACATTTCTAGTGAGAAGATCTCTGACGACGCAACCATGGTAAAAGGGACATCTGGCCCGAGAGATTGTGCCATCCCCATAGCGATTGCAGTCTTTCCGGTGCTAGCGGGGCCGGAGATTAACACCGCGCGCCCTGCAATCTTTCCATCCTTTACCATCTGCAGAATGACTGCAGCCGCCTTCCGCGCCTTCTCTTGACCCACTAGGCCTTGTGAGGAATGTCGGGGCTCGAGCGTGTCTGCGTCAACGCCAAGGCCTCTAATATGGGAGTGTGCTGCAACCAAGTTGAAACCTCTGACTTCCTTGCTTTCCGCGATGGTAGATATAGCCTATGAAAGACGATGAGCTGCCAGTGGTTTCTAAGTGGATGGATTTGATAACTGAGAGAACTTACTGCAGCCATGATAGGCGAAGGAGCGTAGAAAAACCACTCAATTAACCCAGTATTTGCAGGATATTCGTCTGTAGTATTATGTTCAAAAGTCGGATATATCTCGCCTAGCGGGGGTAGTTACTGAGGATGTTAGATTCTTCTGTCGAATATGAACGAGCTGCATCAAACAACGGGAGCTAAGTTCAGCCTTGGCAAGGAACCAGCCACAGCGCGCGCAACGGACCAATATTAACCCGTGCCTGGCCTGGGAACAAATCAACGACCCGTTTCCTTTGAATTTGCGCTCGGGAACTTACAATAGTTAATTGTTTGTTGACAGTCGCGAGCTTGAGGATTTCCGGCGAGCTGTTTCCGCGCTGGAGAAAATATATCGACTTTCATTATTACGCGGGTATGAGCGAAGTTAATCGGCGCGCCTAAATCGAGGTCCTCTGTTTTCTCTGGCGCTCTCATTTCTTTTCAAGTAGTTTACCAGTTAAGCTCCTAGGTACCCCAACGTGCTGTTGTCAAAGTGAGTGACTTTTATAGATATTATTGCACAGTTTGATGGCACTAGTTGCTTAATTAACAGGATCTTGTACAGTTCCTTGCCATTTTCTCTTTGAGCTCAAGCGAGCACAATACTTTCGCCGTATAACTCGATGGACAATCCCTGTGGTGAACCCAATCAGGATGCGCCGTCCAGGGATCCGCGCAAGTCGACCGACCCATTGACGTTTGATCCTGTCCGCGCGCTTGAAGAATTTGCCTCGCATGTAGCATCCATCGCGACTCTCTCTGGAGAGCGAGCAAGACTCATAAAGCGGTCACAAGCCGAGTCAACTGACCTACGCAAGGCGACTGATCGTACTTTTCAATATCCATCGGTTGCAAAACGCCTGAAAGCAGGCAAAGAGGAGCTTGATAATGAGCTTGCTAGAGTTGATGAAAAGCTTCATGTTCAGCGACAATGCAAGCGGATCTTATCAAAGAACTAGCC